CTATTGGGCCATTTGCTCTTGATTCTCAATGTAGAGCTGGCTAAAAGCCCCCAACAGTATCCAAGCCACAGCCTGAATGTTTGGCTGCCTTGAAATTTCCTCCACTGGATTAATTAGATCACTGCCCTTAATCTCAGTCTCGTCAAAGTCTCAAGAGAGGAACAAAATGCAGATAAATTTTCTGCCAAAGCATAAAACGTGTCTTGGAGTCCAACAGTCCAAATGCAGTCCTTGTTCCCAACTGAAACCTCCTGAGCCTGGTCTTTATTGGCTGCATTTCTGTCAGCACTCTGGTCTTTTGCGCTCTGACCAGATTCTCCCATCAAGGTTACCTTATGGCACTCTAAAGCTGCTTCTCCAGCCAGCATCTCAAATCTTTTCAAACTCCTCCTGCCAGCGAGCTCCAAAGATTTCTGAACCACGTGGTCAGTTAGTCACAACAGCAACCCCACTTTTCTGGTACCAAAATCTGTCTTAGTGACTTTCTCATTACTGAGATACAATACCTGACACTTACAATTTGAAGAAGGAAAGGTTTACTTCAGCTCACAGTTTGTAGAGGTTTCAGTCCATAGTTGGCAGGTTCTTAGGTAGGGCAGCATGGCAGAGGGGAATGGCAGAGGAGAAACAGCTCATGGCATGGCAGTCAGGAAGTAAGACAGGGGTCAAGGAAGCAGCAAGGGAGATACATCCTTCTAGGCCGCACCTCCAGTGACCCACCTCGTCCAACTGGCTTCACCTTCCAAGGTCACACTGAGCTATAAACTCACCAGTGGGCCAATCCACACTGAGGAGTACCACACCCACATGATCCAGTCACCTCCTGAAAGCTCCACTATGAGCAGTAGCAGTGGGGACATTTAGATATAAACTGTAACAGTCAAGCTATACTAGTGTTAATGATCAGTCAGGGAGTTGTCTGGTGCAATAAAACACAAGACAAACAGTATGTATTTTATAAAGCAGGTAAAACTGATACTGCTTAGAAACTCTATGAAAACCCTGAAAACACATTCCAGTATGCAAGAGAAATACATAAAAATCAATAGGCTCCACTTACACTATAAGTAATCATACTATAATATGAGCATAACAGGAGCATGTGACTGAAACAAAGACAAATGCCTGGTAATTTTAACAAGCAAGACCTGAGAGGAGAAAAAACAAAACTCTTAAGGATAGAAATGGAAAAAAAGACCCTTAAAATTTAGTATTTTAAGAATGTCCAGCTTCCCCTAAATTAATTTTAAAATTTGATATAATTCTTTAGAAATTAGAAAACTGAGGTCTTCTTGGGAAAGGAAACAAAGGCATGAACACCTGAAACAATTTGTTTAAAAAAGTGATGATGGGAATGGAGAGGAATCTTCCTACCAGATTATAAAATTTAGTGCGAATCTGCCATATTTAAAGTGTTTTTTACTGGAAAAGAATTGGAATAAAAAATGTAAATTCTCAGTAAAAAGAGAATATATGTAGGAATTCCCGTGAGTCATCATAAATGAGTGAAAATAAGTATTCAATAATTGGTATTAGAACAATTCATCTTTTATATGGAGAAAAATAGCCAATCTAAATTCTAACTTCGTGGGGCTGGGAATTTAGCTCAGCGGCAAAGCGCCTGCCTGCCAAGCGCAAGCTCGTGAGTTCGGTTCCTGGTACCAGAGAAAAACCAAGAAAAAAAAAATTCTAACTTCACACATTTATCACAATAAGTCTCAGAGCTAGATATAAAAAAAAACACCAAAGAAAATGCATACATATATCTGAATGGAGACATACTTTTGGGGGAGGGGAGCTTACTGGGGTTGGAGCCCAGGAGCACTCTACCACTGAGCTATAACCCCAGACTTTTTTAGACTTTTATTTTGAGTCAGGGCCCCACGAAGTTGCCCAGACTGGCCTTGAACGGGCAGTCTTTTTGCCTCAGCCTCTTGGGTAGCTGGGATGGTTGAAATCATAGCAGCAAAGAATGAGGCATCCAAACCAAATGTGGTGGTGCATGCCTACAATCTCAACACTCAGGAGGGTGAAGTAGGAGAATCACTATAAGCTCAAGGCCAGCCTGGGCTACAAACTATGCCTCAAAAAAAACAAAACAAGGGGCGGTTTAGCTCGGCAGCACAGTGCCTGCCTGGCAAGCGCAAGGTCATGAGTTCAATTCCCAGTACTGGAAAACAAAACAAAACAACAACAACAACAATAACTATATATATATATATATATATATATATTTATATGCACACATGTATGTGTGTGTGTCTTTATGCATCCAACTATTATATGTAAAAATTTTAAATTCATCAAAAATGAAAAAAATGGGAATGAGAGACATACTGGTGAAAAAAAAAATACTGGTACATAAAAAAAAACCTCAATAATAAAGATACGAGTAAGCCAGCTTAAAAATGGACTAAAGATTTAAATATTTCACCAAAGAAGTTATGAAGACAAAGCATGAACATATGCTCAAGAATATTAATTACTATAGAGCTAGAGATTAAAAGCACAAAGAAATACCTCTTACAACACAGATGAATAACTATAACAAAAAAGATGGATAACAAGTACTGGTGATGATGTGGCCATCTTGAACCCTCAAACATGGCTGGTAGGGATGTAAAATAGCTCCTACTTAGGAAAACAATTTTTCAGTCACTTATAATGTTAAACACAAATTTAACCTATGCTCCAAGGATTCTACCAGAAGTCAGAGAACTTTTTCTGCTCCCTGGGGCTGGAGGTGAAATGGGAAGTCCTAACCCCTGTGCCTGATACGGAACAAACTTGCTGTACTGACTGTCTTCTCTAATGCTGTGTCCATTCAGTAAAATGGAAGCTTCTGGAAGAGTGTGACACGGCTGTCTGCTTGAAGAGGAGAGTGCTGTGTCACAGGGTATATTGCCACACCCAGATCTGACAGGGTGAGAACTGAAGAGAAAGGAGGGTTGGTGAGAAACCCCAAAGAAGGCACACTCTGACAGCCTGCCCAGAGGGCTGTACCGCAGGAGGAGAAAACTCTTCAGAGAAGACACGTCTGCATTTTGGGAGAAGGAAGGAAGGAGAATGGTACTTCTGGAGGTGATAATGCAGGGACCTCTTTTTTTTCATTTTATTTTAAAGAAAATGAAACAAAAAACAAAATTCCAAAACAATACAATAGGAGAGTAACAATGGTTAATACATTGCATATTGTTATCTTTAAATTAGTTACTCAGAGTATATCTGCGTTTAATTGTCCAAACAATGTTAGTGCAATAAGAAGTTAGTTTTCAGTGAATTGAGAGAAATTAGTAGTGTAGCGATTTTAACTG